CGCGCGTTAAAAACCTGTGTGAGCCCAATGCTAGCTCTGCCTCAGTTTGAAGTCCTCTGAGATCAAACAGATGGAAGGTCGAAGTGAAAACAGAATTCAACTAGCTTACAACAGTTTACAGTGTAAGTCTTTGATCTGAGAACGCTGAGAACATACTCCAAACTGAGAAGAAAAGAAAAGTGAGAACTCACTACTAACTGAGAACATGCTACAAGCTCAGAACAAGGTGTAAGAGCGGACTGTCTACAAACAGTTTTAACTCCTCAGATTTACTGTCTAGAAAACAACAGGCAGGACAAACGTGTAACTTCATTAAAAAATAACCTTGATATCGAAATCTTAGACTACTGGATAGCAGGGTTGCATACCCACTGACCGCGGACCCCGACTGCCGACTGTTTTGCAGCCTACCAGTAGGGCTGACCGGTCGGCGCGCTGCCGACCAGTCTGAAAACAGCCATGCACTGATCTTTTTTCAAATCTGAGTTGGGGGTTGTACTGCACTTGCTGAGTACAGCCCAAAGCTGCTGAGAAACTTTTGGGTATGTGGGGGAATATGGGGGCAGGGGGGGGGGAGTATAGCCTGTCTCTTATACACATCTAGATGTGTATAAGAGACAGGAACTGAGCACGGTGCTCAATGCTTAAGTCGTTTGAGCACGGTGCTCAAGCTATCATGTGCCTGGTAAGTTTGAGCTCGTTGTTACGTTGAGCACGGTGGCCTTAATACTGCAAATAAGTTTTTTTTGGTTCCTTCTTTTTTTTTGGATTAAAGAACAATGCAAGCTGCTCACTTCACTCGCTGCAGGTACATGATTCCCCTCCTCCCTCCTCCCTCCTCCCTGCTCCCTCCCCCCTCCTCCCTCCTAACCTCCTTCCTTCTCTCCAAGGAAAGAGGAGCGGGGGGAGAGAGAAGGGGGGCCCGGGAGGTGTCCACCTGGTAGAGATGGGGTTCAATAAGAGGCCCGAATAATCCTTAAAAGCTGTCGCCCTTTCTTTTGTGTGTGTGTGTGTTTTTTTTTTTTTTTTTTTTTTTTTTTTTTTTTTTGAAATTTAAAACACAAAGGATGTAGATCACGCCGTCGGGGTTAGTAGTAGTACGGTTTTCCAAAAAAGGAAAAAAGAAATAAAGAGAATGTATTTTCCGCTAGAACATAGAAAGATACAGATTCTGTTTGAGAGCAGAGGTTGAGTTCAGAGTGCTTAAGTAATTACGTAACTGATTCCGTCCGTTTCTGTCTGCACAGCTCTTCCGTTTCTGGTCCTCGCCAAATGTGCAAACTCAGAATGAATCTTCCGCTAGAACATAGAAAGATACAGATTCTGTTTCTGGGCCTCGCTCCACTACTCGGCAAATGTGCAAACCGTTTCTGCTCCTCGCCAAATGTGCAAACTGAGAATGAATCTTCCGCGAGAACATAGAAAGATACAGATTCTGTTTCTGGTC